TAAAATGTTTTTAATTTTGAAACGAGAACACTGCCATGTCTGAACCTGGTTACTAAAATACTGTGATTATATTTATGTCCCTTTGTTTAGGACATCAAAAGCATTATAGCAGAAGGACAATTCAGGTAGTCTCAGGAGAAAAGGATTTTCTGCCTCACAGAATGTGAGAGCCGAGTCTGTAAGATACCTAACCTGGGTGTGTCACCTTGCAGATGAGGAACAATGGGGCCTTGGAGTGACCATTTCCAAGGAGAAACATGCTTCTTGGCTCTGGGGTCAATGTTTTCTGGATCATTAACACTATCTGTAGTGTCTTTTACAAAACTGTGGCAGTATTTCTTCTGTTTCAGAGAACGGAGCAAACACCAATTGTGTAGGCTATTGTGCATTGGGAAGTCACGGTTTCCAGGCAACCACTCTCTAATGATGCCCATTGAGTCATCTTGTTCTGAACAACACGGCTCCTTATCTATGGCAGCATTCAGATCACAATATTCTTTTGCCGGAGGCTTCCATTTGCCACCCAACTGGATCTTAAATGTGGGTACCTTTTCCTCTGTTGAGGAAGTCTGTAGCCTCAGTTACATGGCAAATCAGGCTATAGATACTAGTGTTGAAGGGCTAATGTGTAACTTGGTGGCACAATGGTTGCCTTGCATACATAAGTTGAGGGTTCAATCCCCAGTGCTGAATTTATTTTTTAAATTTGAAATAAGGTTTGAACATAAAGTAGTTCCTTTACTACATTGGTTCTCAACCATCTTAATGCTGTGACACTTTACGGTTTCTCACCTTGTGCTGATTCCAACCATAAAATTATTTTTGTTGCTACTTCATAACTGTGGTTTTGCTACTGCTATGAATAGTAGTGTAAATATCTGTGATTTCCAGTGGTCTTAAATGACCCCTGTGGAAGGGCCATTAGCCCTCCAAAGAGTTCTCAATCCACAGGTTGAAAACCACTGTTTTATTAGGATATTATGGGAATGATGGTGAAGAAATGATGTTGGATAACAGCTATGAGCTGGGAAATGAGAGGCCGAGTTCTCTTCAGTTCCTCCCAAAGACAGAATAAAGAGATAACATTAACATCATACTTTATCTTATGATATTGCCAAGTGCTTTAGAAGCTTTCTAAGGACATTTCCATCCTGACCTTCCAACTTATTTCTGTCTCCTAGGTACTGAAAGAGGTTGATAAATAGACTCCCATTTATTCCTTTCTTCAATTGACTAATTTTAAATTTAAACTGTGACTTCAAATTTAATACCAATGGAAAAAATACAATTTGATGATAATTACTAGATAAACAAAGATTTAGTCAGGGATGGCGGTGCACATATGTAATCCTAGCATGAGAAATGCAGAGGTAAGAGGAGCAGAAGTTCGGGGTCAGACACAGAAGAAAGATGTACATTGACAACAAAGATGAATGGAAAGAAGAAAAGAGTTAAAGAAAGCATTAACTCAAATACAAGGCAAAGACCTGCGAAGGAGGTAAAACGCCCAGTGTGGTAGGCGGCCACATACAAAACAGTCACAGGATGAACACTCGCCACTAAATGACCATGCTGGTAGTCAGAAGACCCAGGACTAAGTCTGAGCAATTCTACCTGAAAGTTCGTGTTTACTCACTCATTTGTAAAACATGTTAAATTGCAATATAAATCACCAAGGTTGTTGGGCTCTCACTGGGCAAGAGGTGTACTCCATCAACTAGAAGACGCTGAAACAAACTTTAATTGTTGCCACGATCACATGATCATAACGAATTGGCTTTTGCCACTTTGCTCAGAGATAATCGTGTTTCATTTCTGGTAAAGTCAGAGATGTTGCTGTCAAGTAGCAGTAAATGCTTCTCTAGGCTGGAAAGACAAAGTTATTTATCGGATCGCCATCTGGCCCTTCCGAATTCTGTACTTGATTTTTTTCCCTTAGTTTTCCACCTCTGGTTCTGCCCCAGGGTGTTTCCCAACTAATTTCAACCTCTTCTCCTGTCAGGTGTGTTTCTTCTACTGTCTGGAGTTTTAGGAAAAGGTCTTCTGCTTAGAAATGTCACCTTCCTCTAATCAAAGAAAAACACAAGACTGCGTCATCAAGGGCAAGGAGAAAAACGGTGAGAAAATGTGTTCTTTCACATTTCTCCATCTCCACCAGGTAAGCTGGAGGTGCATGGGCTGAGAGGGGTGGCTGAAGAGCATGGGTTACACTTGGGCCCCGTGAGACTTCCCAGAGCCTCTCTGAGACAGGAAGTGATGCAATCAGCTCTCACATGAACTGGGAGGTGGCCGCGTGCACCAGGGGTTTCCTGTCTCAACTGGACACCCAGTTGAGGGGAGGAGAAAGTGGAGAGGAAGTAGGTCGTGGGGAAGTCCCAGCTTGGCCCCTCACACTTTTCTTTGCTCTTCCGAGGCTATGGTTGTGAGCAGACCCATCTCCAGTCCCAGTCTCTGCTGTTGACTGTAGTGGTATCCATGGTAACCACTCCTTCCCTCCACTATCCACCACATATGACAATGATAATGGGACACGGTGACCATGGACAGTGACTGACTGGTTAAGTTGGGTCTCAAACACCAAGTGCACTCATATAATTTCCACCCCAAGGAATAAGCGGGGAGAAGATAGAGGGTGTGGGAGGTGGTTCATCTAAGTGTCTGCCAGCCTGGGTTAGTTTTATTAATATCCACTGTCTCATGTGATTCACCGCAGAAAACGGACAAAGTTGGCTAGTGACAGGTGAGCGATTAAGACAGAGCTTGACTGATGTGAAGGCGAAAAGAAAAGTACTGGGCGATGCCACCGTAAACGGGACTGATGGCAGCGCAGTGGCATCAGGAGGGTCGCAGAAGTCAATGTGTGAAGGCTATGACTGTTCCCAGGCATGAGCCCACCAGCTCAGTGACAGCAGGAAAAGTCACCAGCGAGTAGAGCAAATAATAATGCCAGGAGGGGTGACAGGCGCTGTCACAGCTGCAGCCCACACAGAGAGTCCGGGTGAGGGGCGTCTTGAATAAATATAAACTCAAAAGGACCCAGAGCTGAGTTACAAAGGAAAATTCGGCTAGGGGTGTAGCTAAATGACAGATACAAGTGTCAAATGTACATGGCCTGGGGTTCAATCTATGACGGCATGAAGGGAGAGGAAAGAAGAGAGGAAGAAGGGAGGATGGGAGGGAGGGAGGAGGGAGGAGGGAGGAGGGAGGAGGGAGGAGGGAGGATGGGAGGGAGGGAGGAGGGAGGAGGGAGGAGGTTGTGCTAAGCCTGCATGCTCAGATAACCCTGGCTGCTGCTGTGACACTCATTCTCAGTGACAAAAGCTTTCACATTTACCTTGAAGATTCAGCAGTTTTACCTGGGTCTTCTACTAGGAAAGATGCCCTGGGACGTGGAAATAAGACCCCATCCAGCACAAACTGGAAAGGACAGTGGTGGTGTTTTGATTGCTTCTAGCCTCTCACCAAGGGGACTCTGGCTAGTTCCAGTGAAGTCCCCTAAACCTGCCTGGTATCCGGTTGCACAGCCACAGTTAGAGCAGGCTCTATAGGCATCATGTGTGCAAGCTACAAAGGCTTACAAGGCAACTGTTGCTTCATCTTACTTATAAGTCAGAGAAAAAAAAATTACCCTCTATGGCAGCCTCAGATGCCTAGACTTGACCTCAGAAATTTCAACTACAACAAGATAATGTCTTATCAAATAAAGATACCCATGCAAAAAAGAGAAAGACATTCTTTGGATCTAGCATATACCCTTCCATGTGTAACATCTGACCCGAAGAGCTATGTGCACAAACTGACCCTCAGCCAGGTTGAAGAGAGAGTCTGTGCAGACCTCAGGCCACGTGTGCCATGTTTCCATATCCCTGCCCCGTGTGAACCTTTACTGTGGTTCTCTAATCTCTGGCCCAGTAGGAAAACCCACATCCACTAGAGCAGCCACTAGAGCAGAGGGCCTCTTTATCTGTGTTCAGTGTGATGCATTTATCAGACTTCTGCTTTCTCAGCTTCCTGTTCTAGCTCTGTGGGATCCATAGCTGCACGAGGCATGCTGCCTTTACTGCAGGGCGGTAGTCCTCGTACAACGGTCCTGAGTGCATAGAGCTGGCAGTGGCACCCGGGAGCTAGGGCCAGGGTGAGAGTTTAAGGATGCTAAGAAGTCAGGGCTGCTGGCCTCCCTCCCTCCCCCTTCTCCATCATGGCCGGCACCGCTCTCTCTATCAGATGCGGATGGCACAGATCACTTTTGGTTATCTCCTCCTCAGATGATGAGCTGAGGACTAAGTAGGGCACTTCCTCTCGGACTGTCACTAGAGCAATGGGGACTGTCCTTCCTAAGGTGTTCTCAGCGCCCTACTGCAGCTCTTAAGTGTTTTATGTTCACTGGAAAGTCTCCCCCATACATACTGTGGACTGCAGCACTTACAACCTTTACAGCCCGAGCCTCCGACGGCCAATATTGAAGAAGGAAACAAGCAAATTGCCAGACATGACTAACAGGCCCAAGGAACTATTGAAAGGCAGTAGCTGGCACCGCTCACACACACATTCCCTGCTGCACCAGGCACGCTGCTTGCCTTCTGCCTTTGCCTGTAAACACGCTTCAGGAGGTGTGTGACCCCAAAAGAAACAGGCAGCTCTTGGGCTAGCAATGGAAACGTTACAAACGACTGCATCTCAGGTTCCTAATGAGACATCCAGCAGAGAGCAAGACAAGGAAGAGAGGCAGGGAAGACAGTCCCTCTTCAAGAACTCGGAGGACTTCAAAGTGTCAGGAGACCGAGTCACAACTTGATTAAACACACGCATGACTTAAAAGCTGATGCGCTTACACAATATGGAACTGCCTTTCCATGATAGGAAGGAATCCAGAATAAACAGGTGCCTGCTTCCCAGATGGTGATGTCCAGCACACGTGGACCACACACACACACACACACACACACACACACACACACACACACACACACACACACACACACGGCTTTCTAATACTTCACCTGTGCTGAAAAGTCAATGAGCTTTGGGAGCAGCACCTTGCCACCTTCATCACTCTTGAGGAAGTCCAGCAAGCTGCCTGCAGACAGAGGAGCGACAGGGTCAATGCAACTCAAATGCACGAGGGAAAAACCTCACCAAGGGGCTTGCAGTGGCGCTCGAGTGGAGTACTTGCCCAGCATGCACAAGGCCCCGGGGAGAGAACGTGCCAGGGCGTTAACATCCTGCAGCGGCCTGATCACTAGTCACCTTGTCTGGGACAGAAAGACATGAAGCATGTCCTCAGGAATGGCCTCTCCCTTGCAGGCATCAGGCTAGGCTTGCACTGTCCTGTTCTAGCAAAGGAAGCAGCCAGGGCCTCTGGGAGAGCTGCTGCACTGGGAACAAGTTCGTTTCCTAAGTACAGCGCTGGCAACAGCCTCTCCTACTTCCTCTGGTTTCATATCTGTGAGACCTCCTTTTCCTTAGAACTCCCTGCACCAGTCTCGAAGGCAGTCTTGGTTTAGTCACTTAACGCCGAAACTTTGCAAAGTGGGCACTACAGGAGTTCTTGTGAGGGTGTAAGTAAGGGGGTGTAGACAATGTGGGGCTCGGCAGGTAGTTAACCCTGTACTACGTCACCCATGACACAGAAGCGCAGAGTGGCACTTAGTCCTTGGGCACGGAAAGCACTGGCAACAGAGGTAGATGGTAGGTGCTCAATAAATTTAGGTATTATTACACTTCACACCTATATTTTGGTTCAAATAGTATCAGTTAATTCAATAGTATTTATGAAATCACAAAGCACCTAACACTGAGTAAGTGTGGTTTCTCCGTTACGGCAACCAAAGCCATATAGTTTTATTTATATTTTTAACAATATCCTCAAGGCTAGCGTCACGGCTCAGTGGGAACTCATTTACCCATGGGCAAAAGCAAAACACAGAACCGAACATGTCCTTTTCTGAGGAATGCTTTGTACAGGTGCTGTTCTGAACAGCAATTATTAACAGATATTGAGTTTTCAAAAATAGAACAACCATGCTTCTAATCTATTGGCTAACAGAACTTGCTCTCTACTAGCTCAGCGCTAAGAGTAATCACCGACTGGGGGTGAGGTCCGAGGTGTGATCTCCAGTATTGAAAGCAATTGCTAACATATTAGCTGTGACAGCACACTCTACTCCCACTGTGCATGGGCAAGTATTGATGTAGGATTTGTTGTTTGTTCCCTTCATTCACTCTTACAAAGATTTAAGGAAAATGTACATGCTAGAGTTTATCTCTACCAGACTGGAGGAGAAGGGAAGAATGGTGATTGGGGGGGAAAAAAAAAGCCATCCTGAAAAAGGGCTAACAGGGAAAGATGGCTGCCAAACCCTTTAGGGGTTCCACAACACAGGGATTTAACCTCCAGGCATTAAAAAACATTAACCAAATTTGTGCCCTATCCACGCTTGTCACGTGATCCAGATCCACAGACCCCACATTAACATTTTAAAGTAACACTCAGAAATGTAAGTAACACTAAATAAAAAAAAGGCAGTTTTAGAATTATGATTATGAATTTAACCAAATAAGAAAACAACTGCCCTCTGACTACGCTTATGAAAATGCCCTTTCTATTACTTTCTGACTTTCCAGCATTGAGCATGCTGCACATTAGAGTTGAGTGTTCTGCGAACACTTGAACACTTAGCTTTGGGGTCTGACTCCGTTAAGGGTATGGACACTGACGGCCTCTCACCCTTGGCCATAAACTCGGTGATGATGTAGATGGGCTCCTCCTTGGTGACCACAGCATAGAGTCGCACAAGCTTGTCGTGCTGCAAGGTCTTCATGAGGTTGGCCTCCTCCAGGAATGCTTGCACAGACATAGTGCCCGGCTTGAGGGTCTTCACAGCTACCTTTGTGCTGTTGTTATAGTAACCTGGGAAGGCACAAGAAAGCAGAGCATGATGGTCAGATGGAGAATTCAAGCACCCTTCCTGAACGCAGAGTGAGGAGGCTGAGTTACAGACTCGGCAGATAAAACACACTGTGATGCTAAGAACTGGAGGGGATGCTGGAATTCTTGGTATTCTGTCCACAATAGTTTAAATCACTGCAAACTCAAAAGGGTTTAATAAAACAATAGTCGTGAAAATTCTATATGCATTTTACCACAAGGACTAGTAATTTTCTTCTAGTTAGCTTGCATCATCTTTACAAATAGGAAGAAGCATAACACTTACAAAAACTGTTTATATACATGCTTGAAAGTATAATATGCCAAGGTCAAATAAATATTTCCCAAGGTTTTCAAAGGACTGGACTTGGGCGATTCTGTCAATGAGAAAGGGTTTGTTACGGAAGCCCAGAGGTCACACCTGGCTACCTCTTCCAGAAGGTTACTGGGAGCCCTTCGGGCAAGAAACCTGGATTTCTTCCTGGGTGTTTCCCACACCTTCAGGAACACTGGCTAGCTGAACCTCTTCAGAAACACTAGGCCTTTAATGCAGTCCCCTCACGGCCTTGCTATTTTGGAAACTGGCTCAATGAAGTACTTTTTTCTTTTCAGGAATTTGGCAAAGTAGCAATGTAAATAATAAGTAAAATTCCCTTCCTCTGCCTCTGTTCCCATAATTCTCTGGGAGTACAAATCATTAACGTTGAGGAAGGGTGCTCAGCTGCTAGCGCCCAGCAGATCTGCTGTGAGTCTCACCCGGTGTGGCACACCTTTATCAGTGGCCCGGGAGTGGTCAAGCTGTAGGCTAGTGAATCATGCTAGTGAATCAGTGGGCCTAAACAACAGCGACTTCTGTTGCAGCACTTGGGTGACTTCTACTTGTTTTGCCTCTTGTTTTGATTAAATTTGTCAATGAGTATGTGTCTTTTTACAAAAGGAATTAAAAAAAAATAAGTATTTCCAAAATGAACGGCGGGGGGGGGGGGGAAGCACTAATTGCTGAGTTGTCTTAGCTGCTACAGTGTTTTTTCTTCTGGCCATTAAGAATGAGTTCTCTGTGTGAGGGTATAGCTCGGCAGTAGATTGATTGCCTGCTGCCTGTGTATGAGGACCTGGGTTCCATCCCCAGGCTTGCAAAGGGAGAGGAAGGAGGAAAGAAAAAGGGAGAGGAGGTAGTGGCTGGTCTCTATTAAAATATTTCCTTTTATATGTATTACACTATATGACACGTTATTATACTTTATAGTGTAATAAGATCAATAGTGTCAGTAAGACCTTGCAGAAATGAAGTGAAGAATAGAGTGGAAGTAAGTTTTGCAACATCCTGAAGACAGTAATAAAAAAGGTGACAGAAGCTACCATCTAACCCGCGCCGTGCTAGCACACGCCTTTAATCCCAACACTAGGGAAGGAGGCAGAGGAAGGCAGATCTCAGTGAGTTCCAGGACAGCCAATATTACAAAGAGAAACCCTGTCTCCAAAAACAAACACACACAAAATCTACCACCTAAATATCACAGACTGCTGAACAAATTGTGTTGACTTGCCACTTAAATGAAAAGTGATATATATATATATATATATATATATATATGAGCAATTTAATCATATATCCTGTTAATAAGTCTTGTAAGTTACATTTGAGGAGCTGAAGAGATGGTCCAGAGGTAATGAGCACCTGTTGCTCTTGCAGAGGATCCAGGTTTGATTCCCAGAACCCACATGATGGTTCACAACCATCCTTCACTCAGTTCCAATGCCCCCTATGCCCTCTGGAAGCTCAAAGCCTGTAGACAGTATACATACACACCTGCAGGCCAAACACGCACACATAAAATGAAATGAATAAATCCATAAAAAGTAAATTACACTGAAGCACAGATTCCATTATGAATGTTTTGTTAATTTGCAGACAAGCCCTCAGTTATTAGCAGCATACTAGTTGCAAATCGTAAGAAACTACACTCTTGGGAATAAGGAAGTGGCTGAGCGGGCCAAGTGATTGCTTTGCAAGTATGAAGACCACACGCTAGCTCGGCACAGCTCCGTAACACCAGTGCTGATGGGACAGACACAGGAAGGTTTCTAGAACTCACTGGCCAGAGGGTCTAGGCCAGTTTCAAGGTACAGAAATCCCTCCCACCCCCTGCCCACCAGCTTAATAAATAATGTGGAGAGCAAATGAAGAAGATACCCAGTGTCAACGCCTGGCCTTTACACACACACACACACACACACACACACACACACACACACACACGAGAGAGAGAGAGAGAGAGAGAGAGAGAGAGAGAGAGAGAGAGAGAGAGAGAGAGAGACTGTCCTCCATGGCTTATACACTGACAAGTCACTAGTATCTTGAGTCTGTGATTGCTACAAATCAGTCAAGAAGCCTAGCAGTGCATGGAAATGGCGGCACATTTCCAAAAGGAGAAATTCCAGCCACTCAGATGTACAAAAGAAACTCAATTGCCTTAGAATCAGAGACATGCAAAAGAAACTATAAGGAGAAACCAACCCTACTGACCCAAATCAACAAGTGTGACAGTAACTGTAGGCAAAAGCTGGTGACAGCCCCCTTGGGCCCTTTCCTGAGCTTTTTTTCTGAGCACCACAGAACACTAATGGCAAAGCTTTGTGATGAAATGCCAAGGGAGCCACAAAGGATGCTGACAGTGGTCTCCTAGCACACAGGCTGTGCTGGACTGAAGCCACGCCGTAGGCACAGGTTCACCATTTAGGAAAGTGTACACTGTATATTTCTAGGGACAAATGAAACTAGGACCTGTTGACAGCATTAATAGAGCAAAGATTCATAAATGGTCTTCCCTATATCATCCACAGGGGACTGGTCCAGCTGCATCACCCATAGGGGACTGGTCCAGCCAAATTATCCGTGGGGGATTGGTCCAGCTACATCATCCATAGGAGACTTGTCTAGCCATATTATCTGTTGGGGACTGGTCCAGGACCTTGAAGCATACCAAAATCCAAGGATGCCTATTGCATAAAATGGCACAGTATTTGCATCTAATCTGTACACATTTTCATGGATACTTTTAGTCACTTCTAGATAAATTATGATAACAAGTAAAATGCAAATTCTATGTACCTAGTTGTTAGACTGCATTGTTTAAAGAAAAAAAATATGTACTTGTTCAGTGTAAGTGCAATCCCCTTCCCAAACATTTTCCATGTAAGGTAGGATGAACCCACAGACAGGGAGGCCTGACTGTACCCAGAAAATCCATTCCTCCTGGAAAAATTCATGCATGCTTGCACCACCAAAACCCCAAAACACAATATTCACAGTAGCCACAACCTGGGGCTAACTCCGACTGTCACCACTGAAGGTTGAAGTTAATGGATAAAATTCTATGTACTTCTCAAATACACACAAACATCACTATTTATCAACAAAGATGCATGAAATGTTATGATCCCAAAATGTGGATGGATTAATTTAAAATGTCTACTAAAAGAGGCAAGAAATAAGAGAATGCATGCAGCATGACTCATCTCTATTAAACCCAGACGAAGGTGGTCTGTACTGCTTGCCACATGCTGTACCGTGTGTAACAGTAGCGGAACTATATAGAAAAGGCCTGCATGCACACGGCCCTAGCTCCACAGGGGAAAAGGTCAGGAAGTTATGACAAAGGTCAGAACAGCAGCTGTCCCTGGGGCAGGCAAGGCCGTGACCGGAAGGGACAAGGGGGGCTTTCTAATCACTTGTGACTATCCTGCAGCTTTTCAGTAGACTTGTCACATCACCTAAAATCTAAGTCACTCCCCACCATCATGATGTGGACAATGGAGCCTGGAAACATTTACATCATTTGAAATGATGGAAATATGCTTTCCAGAGGCAAAGCACGAGTCATCAGGAAATAATGCAGCTGTCAAAGATGCTGATAAGGGATTTGGAATCAACAGTGACTAAACAGCCGTGTCCACAGTTCCAGAAGAGCAGCAGACACACCCCACAAAGGCCAATCATTGGAGGGTCCTATTAACCTAGACACAGAAATGCGTGCCATTGTCACAGACAGATTAAAAAAAAATCAGGTAATAAAGGACTTCTTGTGGAGGGACACTTCGTCACAGTTAAAGAAAACAACAGCTTGAGAAAGTTCCAATTCTAGCCATGGCAGGCTTGCTAAAAGGTTCACATACCATGGGATGAAGAGTTACTTTAAAGAAAGGAAGGAAGGAAGGAAGGAAGGAAGGAAGGAAAGAAGGAAGGAAGGAAGGAAGGAGGAAGCAGATATTGGTTTGGGAAGTTGGCTGGTGATAAGTTTTAACTAATTTGCTTCTAAGTAGGAATGTATCAGGGTGAGAGACAGTTCGCTAGTTCAGAGCACTTGCTGCTGTTGCAGAAGCCTGGGATCAGCTCTCAGCAGGCACATGGCGGCTCACAGCCATCTGCAACTCCAATTCCAGGGGATAGAAGCCCTTTTCTAGCATGCACATAGTGAACACAACACAGGCATGCAAACACTCATAAACAAAAGATAAAACAAATCAACCTTAAAAAAAAAAAAAGACATCTGGGTGGTGTGGCACATGCCTTTGATCCCAGCACTCAGGAGGCAGAGGCAGGCAGGTTTACACAGTGAGCTCCAGGCCAGTCAGGGTCACACAGTGAAGCCTTGTCTTGGAAAAGCAAACAAAGACTACATCAGGCAAAACTCAGTTAAAAATTTTCATTTCTTAAAATGAAGCTTTCCGGTGACCAAGCTGTAAGAAGAAACTTCCTCCTCTTCCTCCTCACTGTCCGGTTAGATCTCTGGGAATGAATATTAACAATACACAAGGAAGCAAGGCCCCATGGCAGATGCAAGGGGTCACACGAAAGAGAGGAAACAGCTTGAGGCAGAAACACCTCTCTCTTTCACCCTCGTAGCTGTCTTCCCGCATGGGGCAGGTCACATCTGACAATCTCTTCCTTGTGTTTCAGATCTTTGGCTGTAAAAGGCAGTCTGCGAACAATCCCCTGTGATTAACAAAAATAATAACTCACTTGCTTAACCAGGGTATAATTTTCATTGGCTGAATTTTGTTTTGTACCCATGTGAAAAACTAGCTCACACATTCCTTGGGAATTAAAGATTGAATTCGCAGGGGCTAAGTAGTTAAGAGGACTGACTGCTCTCCCAGAGGACCTGGGTTCCGTTCTCAGCACCCACACAGCAGCTCACAACCTCTGGAACTCTGGCTCAGAGGATCCAATGCCCTCTTCTGGCCTTTCTACATGCCAGGCACTCTTGTGTTTCACAGACAGACACACGTGTAGGTAAGCATTCACACACATAAGCAATATAAAAATAAATAAATCATAAAACAACAAGGACCAAAACTAAATGAAAAGGAGTAAATGTTGCTTTCCAGTCTGTCCGCCTCAGGCTTTGGTGGCTGGACTGAGATGTACACGGAGGGAGGCAGCCCCTCCCCAACTGCTGACACTCACATAGCGCCAGCCCAGCCGCTGATTTTCTGTGGCTTTTACTCCCAGATCTCCATGTTAAAGTTCAGCAGAATAAAACCTTCCGGGAGCCAAGGAGATTCCCGGCCAGCACTCAGACTCAGACTTCTAGTCGAGTTTTCTGTTTTTCTTTCTTCCGCCCGCTCCCCTCCCGTTTTGTTCCGTGCATCCCTGGAAAGCACGACTTAAAAATAACTAGGCTACGTGATGGCTCCTGGCACCCAGAAGGGCTAGGAGAGAGATTGCTGCATTCAAGGTCATCCAGTGAATTCTGGACAAGACATAGATAGAGCAAGACTGTCTGTCAGATGAATGAATGAATGAATGAATGAATCTGTTGACACCTCCATTCTAGTGATACTTGACTAGAATTTTGTGAGATGTTACAATAGGGACTGGAAACTCACTACACTGTGCGTTTCACATACATGCAGCTTTGTTAAAGCAGAACTCACATGCCATACTGTTTGTCCACTTCAAGCATATGATGCATCACAGTTGGGCAAGTGTCACCATAAACAGCGTGAAACATTTCCATCAGTTCCCAAAGAAACCCCACACTCTTTAACAGTGTGTGCTAGGACCTCATCACTCCTCAGCCGCCGGGCACCCCCTCTCAGTCTTGGCGCTTTTCCTGTTCTGGACGCCTCGTAAACACAAACCATGGGACGGCCCTCCTGTGACCAGCTCCTTCCAGGGGGCCATCCACACTACGGTCTGCCGAAGTTCTTCATTCCCTTCGCCACCAGTTTCTACTCTTGCTTATACATTAATTTCTTGGTGAAAATTCAGGTTGCTTATACTTTTGCTTTTGAGACAGTTTTGTCATGTAGCCCAGACGGGCCTCGAATTTAAAATCTTTCCGCCTCATTCTCATAACCGCTGGGATTCTAGACTACTTTCCCACTATTATGAATAATGCTGTCACAAACCTTCCTGCTCAGGCTTTTGTGAGGCATAGGCTTTCGCTTCCGAGTTTGTTTAATTTTCCATTCTTCTCTCCCTCCCTCCCTCTCTCCCTCCCTACTTCCCTCCCTCCCTCCCTCCCTCCCTCCCTCCCTCCTTCCTTTCCTTTCTTCTTTTCAAGTTAAGCTTGTTTTGTAAGTATTTACTATTTACTTTGGCTTGGCATCTCTTTCTTTTTTTAATTTTATTTTATGTGTCGGGGTGTTTTGCCTATATGTATTTCTGTACATGAGTGCATGGTTGGTGCCCTAGGAGGCCAGTAGAAGGCATCAGATCCCTTGGAATGGTAGTAATGCTAGGAATTGAATGCAACTCCTCTAGAAGAGCAGCCAGTGATCCTTAACCTCTGAGCCCTCAATACATCCCTGTCTCTGTTCTTTCTTATAATCACACACGAATGCCAATTATCTCAAAAAATATTTAAAAAAACAAAAACAAAAACAAAAAAGAAACAAACCACCTTTGTTCTGTGTAGAAATCCCTAGTAACTTTCTCCTCTATGTTTTTGCACAATGCTACAGGATTTTGTGTAAAGTATCATTAGGTATTCAGTACTTCCCTGCATTGTTTTTCTCAATTGGGACAACAGTCCTGTTAGACAGGGTCGTTATAACCCAGGTTGGGATAGGTTATCCTGACTATATCTTTTAAAGAATTCAGTAAACAATGACACAATTTAATAAACACTTTTTTTGTTTGGTTGGTTTTTGTTTTTGTTTTTGCTTTTTTGAGACAGTGTCTCATCATGTATCACCAGCTAGCCTGGAAATTACTATGCAGACCAGACCAGTCTTGAACTCACAGAGACCTGCCTGCTTCTGTCTCCCAAGCACTGGGGTTAAAAGAGTGTGCCACCACACCTGTCAGTTAAGGAAGAAACTGGAACAGACTTGAGTGCACATTTCTCTGGGTAAGATACAGAAATGCCCAGTGTGCACATGAGAAGATACTTGGCATTGCTCATCTAGAGGGAAATGCAAATCGAAACTGCAGTTATTACCTTCCTTAAAACATTATTATAGAAACCTAACAGATCTCTGGGAAGAAAAGACAGCTAGCCGTGGAAAGGACATTTGGAACCAGGACCCTTGCACACGTTACCGGGGATGTAAATCGATGCTCCTACTTCAGAGTTTCCACAGTATGCCAGTTCCCTAAAGTTACCAGTAAAGGCATCATGGGAGCCACCGACTGGGGACTGGAGAGATGGCTCACTGGTAAAGAGTACCTGTTGTTCCTTCAGAGGACCTGAGTTCGGTTCCTCAGCACCCACACTGCATGGCTCACTACCACCAGCTCCAGGGGACCCGGCAGCCTCTCCTCACTCCACAGGCACCTCTACATATGTGTACATAGCCGTCCACCACAGACACACATACATAAATAAAAAAAAATCTCAAAACAAACAAGAGAGGCAATCGCATTCCTGAGGGTGGCGCCCTTCTGGGTCACAGCAGCATTGTCCGCCGTAGGCAAAGGATGGAAGCAAGCCCAAGTGCCACTGGCAAAGGAATGGACTGTGCTGCAAGCATTCACGGGCACATCACTCCTTATTAGGGTAGGAACATGAGTGGAAGCAAGCCAGCTGTGGTCAGGTCAGCCCTGATACCTCTGCTGCCCATAGCAGGTGGGCCTTTCTGACCCTCATAGGCGGTGCAGTAACCACGACATCCTCTTAAGTAGTATGAATTAAAAGGAAAGTTCCCCCCCCCCACACAGCCCACCTAATCAAGTAACTGGATTTGAGTGTAATTGGTTTACCTGTGGGTATGCACACCATGGGTATCCCTCACCATGTAGTCTATGCCTTAATTCTTGTTTCACAGCTGAACCTGAGGAGGATGGAAGAAAACTCCAAACTTTGGGGTGAATGAGGCCAGCCCAGGGAAAGCACAGTACGGCTGAACTGCCCTTCGGTCTTCTTGAGGACAGACGTCAATCCCTTAGCCAGAAAATACACATGGGAAGGCCAAACTACATTACTTTCACATTGTTTTTATGATTAAAATTGAGAGAATATAGCTTGGGGTGGTTAAGAATGTCAGTGAGGCTCACTGTAGTTGGTCCTATTCTTGCTGAGGTTCTCTGTGATTTTTAAGGAAAGCCACCAAGTATTTCCATAGAGACTCAAGATTCTCTTTTGTAATTACTACATATTCTGCCGGTAGATGCCTCAGTCTGTGTAAAAGAACTTTCCTTAAATGACTTTAGCGCAACCTGATAGTGCCAAGAACACAGCACTGTCCAATGCTTGGGTGCCACACCCAAAGAGAGGTGAGCCACACCACAGGACACTTCTCCGGGCTTGCTATAGAACAATAGCCCTGTGTTTTATAGAATATGGATGCCATAAAAGATGACGATAAGACACTTGGATTCTCCATAGTAAGAGTTGAAGCTGTGATATGTTCAGGTCTATGATCCTAGGCAGTGGATAGTTGTGAAAAGAAAATTGTTCTGGAGACAAACTAGATGCCCCTCAACTGAAGAATGGATAAAGAAAATGTGGCATGTGTACACAATAGAGTACTACTCAGTAGTAATAAACAATGACATCCTTACATTTGCAGGCAAATGGACAGAACTAGAAAAAGCCATCCTGAGTGAGGTAACCCAGATCCAGAAAGACAAATACAGTATGTACTCACTTATAAGTGGATACCAGACATAAAGCAAAAGATACCCAGCCTACAATCCACAAATCCAGGGAAGCTAGAACCCTCTTCCAGAAATAGACGGAAGCAGATGAAGAAATCTACAACTAAACAATGGGCCAAGCTCCTGGAGTACAATCGAAGTGAGGGAGGAGCGGTAATATGAACAAAGGCGTCAAGACCAAAGCAAGTGTGTCCTCAAATCTTGGTGTACCTCCTCCCAGCCTGAGAAGAGAACATTTGGCTCTAAGGAAGAATTCATTAATGGGGAGACTTTGGGCATCTTTTGTTGGTGATCCCCAGGTTAAAGAAACTGTAGGCTCCCTATTAAGTGGTCCTAAGCCCAAGCGTAACTTTCACTGAGTTGAGGATGTAAGTGTATGCCCAGAGTCTGAGGATGAGAGACTGATACAAGAGGAGAGAGGTCCTGGGTAAGCACCCACACTCCTATCCTAGAAAGGATGAAAGAAATTACCAAAACAGACACATCCCCAGGCCAGAATTTAGCCTGAGACAGACAGGAACGCCAGATGTCATTCATGCTTCTGGGCAACTCAGTGCCTGGCTCAGTGGCTGGTGGAGGGTTGGACCCATCACCATCCTCTCCAGAGTGGGACCCGCCCGGGCTGCACACTTACCCATCCAGACTTCTCCAAACTGCCCTGCGCCCAGCTTTTTCACCAGCTTAATGGACTCCCGGGGGATCTCCCAGGCATCTTTATCCCATGGCTTCTGTGGTTTGGGGCTAATGCACACCTTCTCCAATCTTCTGCAAAGGCCATCAGATTGCTCTAAAGGGAAAGGAAGAACAAATACTAAGAAATGCATACAGGGCTGATGAGATTCAGTCCCGGATTCCCCAACACACAATAAATAAATGTAGAAAGAAGAATAGGAAGAGGAAAGAACGGAATGGAAGGAAGGAAGGAAGTGAGGGAGGGAGGGAGGGAGGAGAAAAGGAAGGAAGGAAAGAAAGGAAGAAGGGAAGAAAAAAGAAAGGAAGAAAGAGAAGAAATGTAAGCAATAGAGTGAGCAGCTATGGCGGATGGGTGCCAGGGTCTCCTTAAATTCCAAAACCAGATTCTCAAGTCCCTTTTATAAAACAATGTAATGCTTTATATGCACGCTTCACTTTAAATCATCTTTGTATTACTTATATTACCAAATACCTTGTAAACACCATATTGCAATCCTGTATTGTTTAGGGAATGCTGACAAGACATGCTCAGTGCAAACACATTTATAGACACTTGGCTGGCTGACTCTCGAATGCAGAACCTGTATAGTACATCCTTCTGTGTTAGAAGTGCCTATCCAGGAAATCTTGAATCAACTCTTACTCTTCTCTCGTCCAATGTGACACCATCTAAACTTCTCAAATTACTAGAAGACAATTTGAAACATTTATATTTCATTCACCAGCATACAAAAACAAAAACAACTGAGATAGTTCCACAAAAACGTATTCTGATTCCTGAGTCCTCGAAAGTTCAGTGGCCCATGGGCAGGGATGCAGTTAGGTTACCATTGCACTCCAGAACAGGGCCATAGTACTGTAAGCCCCAGCACCTCAGCCAGAAGCATAAGTGGATAGGAATGAGAGAGGGAGGAAGGATTCTGTAAGTCCAGCACCCCCCTCTCCTACATCTTTGCTCCATGTTTTGGGCCTAAGCTAACCCTCAATGAGCTTTCTCATAGAGCCCATCAGACCAGGCAGCAGAAAACAGACACAGTAGTTCCTGCATCGGATGTCAGTCACAACAAAGGGACAAGATGAGAAACTGGTACTGGGCGCAGGGCATCCATCGATCGCCTTGCTGCTCTTCAGTATGCCGTCAGTGCTATGCTATGCGCTCTTACCATGGGCACGCATTCCTTTTATAAACATGCATTACACTCAGAGGCACAGGTCTCGCCAGGGAAAAAGGCTGTGGCCATCACAGGAGCAGTCTCACTTGGATGTAGTGATAGTTCCATTTATAGTGCTCAACTGAATGGTGGCCATTTTATCTGAGACGAGAGTGTGCCCACACAGCCAACCTGTGTTCACCTCCAGTCTAGTACTTGGATGAAAGTGTGTGACAATCCATGTTCACCTCCGGCGTGTGAGCTGATAGCAACTGTGTAGGTTATAAAACTGTCAGACTTTGTCCAACCATTGGGAAATTTAAGTGTCTTAGCACATTTACTGAAGGCTACATTAAGCTGCAACGTTCAGAAGACAAGGCAAATGGAATGCATTTTCAACTCGTGCTTTAATTCAAAATAGGTTTATTAGAACACATGCCCATGAGAAGTCAAGGAGCATCTACGTATTGAGCTAGAACTCCTTGTAGAGTACTACCCTACCACGTCACCCGAAAGAAAAATTTTCATACAAAGTAGTGGCTGCCACTTGATAGCAATCATTATAAAAATAGCCCGCCTCTCCCCAGCTTCATTGTTCACTTACTTTGGTAATGCTTAATCATGTCACTGATGCAGGGGAAAGTGATCCGTGGAGAGATGTAGTAACCGCCATTGTCCAGACTTCGAATTTTGTAGTGCTTTATCACATCTCCATGCACAGGGTCATAATCTCTGACGGACAGAGAGAAGCTTCCTGTGGGAAAGTAAAGAGAAGGGCAAGCCTGCGTGTTATTCGTAAGGTCTACATTACGTGACACTGTGGTTCGTTTTCTACAAAATGTCCAATGAAAACTATGTATGTTTCTAACACATCATATTAAAATCCTGCAATCAGGCGTTGTGATGATTTTAATTCAAGCTCCTGGGAGGCAGAAGCAGGTGAGTCTTGGCCAGTTCCAGACTAGCCACCACTACTTAGTAATACCCTGCTTAAGAAGGAAAAAAAGTCCTATAAAAATTTGACTTGAAAAGTGACAATAGCATTTTGTTTGCTAGGCAAGCAGTCATCACAGCATTTTCTTTCTTTACCCTAGGTTTCTGAGATCATTTAGCTGAATAGAAAATTTCTTTTGCATTTCCTCTTGCCATTCAAGATTCGCTTTCATAATACCACAACAAAACAGGAAGTGTGCTATGACCTGGCCATAATTATGACTATTTTTCCTTTATTAACATTTATCATTTGAGTTCATTATGTCTTATCAAAATATGAAATTTTCGCTTTGAAAGGGTCTGCACAATGGCCAGAAAGGTAAAAGGAACTTTCTGTATAAGTCCCTAGAACCCATGACAGAAGGAAAGAACTGATTCTCACAGTTGCCTTCAGACTTCCAGCTTGACAGGCAGGAATGCACACACATACACACTCACACGCACACAAGTAATAACAGCAATAACAATAATAACATAATTAAAACATCTAAGTGTGGTGGACACTTTTAATCTCAGCACTCAGGAGGCAGGGGCCAGCTGGGATCTCTGAGCTTGAGGTCAGCCTGGCCTATATAATTGATTTTTCAGGCAAGCCAGGGCCTACCTAGAGAGGCTCTGTCTCAAAAGAAAAGAAAACAAAACAAAACCACCTCTTTAATACCAGAACCTACTATAGTCTTCATTTTATTCATCTCAGAAGAGTTTTTAAAGTGATTTCCCAGGCTAGGGCTGTACCTCAGTAGTAGAATGCCTGTCTAGCATGTACAAAGCCTTAGGCTCCATGTCTAGAAATAGTCCCCACATCCCTATCCAGTCTTCCTCAAGGTCTCTAATCATTCACCCACCTTTTAAAGTCTCGCTTTCTCTGATAAGAAAAGCTCCTGCACTGTTCCCTGGGGCCAGAAGCTGTCGTTCTGCATCCTTCCTGGTTATGTCCTTGAAGAACCACCTGTGAAGACATTTTCACATTTCACAGGTGTTGTGTCAGGGAGGGGAAAGATGATGCACACGTAAACAGGCAATGGGGTGCAGCGTGTAGAAGCACCACAATGGCCATGGGCCAGGACTCACTCTTCCGTCTCTAAGGTGTTGACCTTGGCCACGTAGTTGCTGGGGATGAAGCCTTCTCTCTTTGTTGAAAGGGACTTGGCTTTCCACCATTCCCCATGCCTGGAAGAGAAACAGAAGGCATGAGCCGAGAGGCAATTGTCCTATGGTGTTTGTTTTGCAGACTGAGGGCAAGGGGGGGCAACCTGGAATCTCAGAATCCAAGGGGGAAATTTCTTTCCTGCCACCTGAAAGATACGTTTAGTGACAGGAGCAAAAAAAAGCATCCTTACATCTTCAGTGTGTCTCGATATGTTTAGTGCTGCATAGAAAAGAGCTGGGAAAATGGCCCACCTTATAGAAACCAGACATCCCTCATTTCCCCACACACGGCTAAGGCATGTTCTTAAGGATCCTTGTTGCGATCCAGTCACGGGAATAGTGATTTAGAATTCATGTGTTATAAACTTGTTTGTAAAAACATCCACTTTCCCCAGAGATAGGTGCTATGAATAAAGGAAAGCAACAACAGCAATAATAAACCCAAACCAATTCAGAGTAAGGAAGCCTTATCACACGACACTCATGATACTACACTAACCCAGAGGGCATCAGGGAGTTGAAAGAGGAAGGGACCAGGCCCTGAAGCAACAGCTGAGCTAAAGAGGGGTGGGGGTGGAATGGGTCTTTGGAAGCCTTCGCGTTCCTCTTCAAATGTCCCCACACAGACCAGACCCTTGTCTGTGAGGAAAAGGGGATGATAACTAACTTCAGCACAGTTCACCGTACCTGTGAACTCTACCCACACAGGCAGCCTGTGCAAGCTTCAAATTCAGTCAACTGTAGACTGAGAGTATGTGGAACTTTTAGGCTGCACTTTTTCTTTTTTCCATGCAGGGGTATTGAATCTAGGACCTTGAACATGCTAGGCAAACTTTCTACCACTGAGCTACATTCTCAGGACGAAAACTTTTATATCTATGTTCTCTTCTTCTCTGTTTAAGTTCAACATAAGGCTGTCTTCATAACAATCACAATCATGTTGTGTTAGACATGAGAAGTCATCCAGAGGTGTTTTGAAATATTGGGAGGTAGCAGTAGAAGGACTCTCTAGGCTCCACCCCTAACTGGGGAACTATTGGGAGTGGGCAGTAACCTGGCGAGGGAGAACGGTTCTTCTGGGGAACATGGTCTCTGCTAATGACCCCACTGTCCTGCATACATGGGCAGCACCGATTGGATTTAGTTGGTTATGAGAAAGAAGAAGATGTGAAGTTGGAAGGGGCACATGTGGGATTCAGGGGTATTAGAGGAAGTAGGGAGTGAATATGATCATGTTTATTGTATATATGTATAGAATTCTCAAAGAATAAACTTTTTAAACTAAGGTATGTGGAAGATGTTGTAGGCTATATGCAAGTATTGGTCCATTTTGTATCAAAGATAAGAACACCTGGGCTTTAGTACGCATGGGCGGCCCTGGAATCCATTCCTGACAAACACTGAGAGACAGCTGTATAGACACCACACACACACACACACACACACACACACACACACACACACACACCACATCATATACACATACACACAGCATAAACACACATGCCACACACACAGACCACAGATATGCCATACACGCCCCACACACAGACACCACATACACACACACACACACACACTACACACATACCACATAAACTACACACACTACACACACACCATATCACACACACACCACACTATATACACATACATCCCCCCACACTACACAGGCACACACACCATACACATATACAGATACCACACACACACCACACACACACACACACCATATACACACACCATATCATACACACACACTACACACATACCACATACACCAAACATACACACACACATACACACTACACACATACACCACACACACACACACACACACACCATGCTCACCACAATCCTTTGGTGTCATACCCACTTCAAACGTTAAAATTCCAGGGAACAGACTGAGACATTTTAAGGCCATGCAGCTCTCAGAAGGAAGGGCCACTCGAACACCAGTTCATTCTAGCTCAGATTAGCACTCAATGCCTCATCTTCTGCGAGCGAGGGAGTCTCCCTTCTCCTCCCCTTTGGCAGGCCAGGGTCAGGGTGCTGCTTCATGCAAATTCAGTACAAGAGGGAAGTTAGACTTGAAGGGCTCAGAGTTCCTCCTTCTCCCTCCTCCTGCCTGGTGCCTTGTGGCTGACTAGGGTCACGCATGTGTGAGTCAGGGAAATGAAACATCCAAGCAGCTTCAGGGCAGAAGCGATGTGGCTGAGCAGGGCTCACCAACACGGCCGTGGCTGTGGCGCCACACCCTTAGCAAACCCTTAGACATCACCCCAAAGGACCCGTGAGCCCCGTCAGAATCTGTGCACTATAACAAATAAAAATGGCCTTTTAAATTGGTGTGTGTGTGTGTGTGTGTGTGTGTGTGTGAGACTGTACAGGTACACTTGTGTTTGCAGGTATGCATCATACGTGTACATGTGCGTACATGACAGAAGGGAGCCTCATCTGTCGTTCTTCTGGTGTTGCCTATCTTGTTTTCAAGACACAGAGTCTTTCACGGGCCTGGAACTTGCCAAGCGTGCTAGTCTGACTGGCCAGAGAGTCTTCAGGGATCCTCCTGACTCCGTCTCCCCAAGGCTGTGCCACCATACCCAGCCTCTTCCTGGGAACTAACTCAGGTTATGGCTGAGCTATCTCCCAACTCCTATAGTGACCATCTTAAGTAGCATGTGACACAGAGCCCAACTTCTTAGGTAGCACGTTTGTGAAGAAAGAACCTAAGGTCTGAACTCACTGGGAAAAATGATAGAGGTGCCTACAGCCACACTGGAAAGGAAAGCTCTTTTTGCTCTATTCCCGCTGCCTTGGCCACGGCCCTTGCAAGAGCTGTGGTCAAGGTGCTGCCAGGGCCTGGGCACACTTACTCTTCCAGGACTTTCATCTTTTCTCCTTTCTTGAAGGACAAGTCATCTGGGTGGATGCCATCGTAGGGGTACAAGGCTACCACAATGTCCCCTTGTTCCTCTGGATCTAAGAACAAAAGACATAAGCAAAGCCCTTTTAAACCCTAGCAACATAAACACAAAGGAAGGGAAAGGCAGTGGAGAGAAGGGTCCAGGGAATGAAGCTGTGTGCTTCCCACCTGCAAATAATACCAGCTGCATACCTGCATAACCCACTCTGCATACCTGCATAACCTACTATAATTTCAAAACTATGTCTAGGAAAGGATGTACCTCCGGTCATGGCAGCTCTGCCATGGTCACCCAAAGGCAGAGGCTACTCTAGTATCCATCAGTGGAATGAACAAGATGTGACACACACATACAATAGAATAATACTCAATTAAAAAGAAATGAAGTTCTGACACACAATATTTTATAGATGAGCCTTGAAGACCTTATGTGAAGTTAAAGAACCAGACACAAATGATGAAGACTGTGTATTTCTAGTCACATGTGCTACCTACAGCAATCAAATCCATAGGGACAGAAAGTAAAACAGTGGCTGCCCAGAACAGAAGGGAGATGAGAAGCAAGGGCGTTTAATGATAGAGTTCCACTTGGGATAATGAAAACCTTCTCTCGAGGATGCTGGTGAGGCTTGCACAGCAATGTGGACTTCCTGCCTCGGAACTCGATATTTAAGACATGGTTAAAGGCATGATAAATTTATGATATATGTATATATATATATATATACATATATATATGTATATATTCCTACAACAACAAACAAAATATTAATTATAATGTTAAGAAAACATACCTTTTGTTTGAAATCTCTGTCCTGGTAAAAGTTGAGATTCTGGAACCTACGAGAGAGTATTTGTTAGGGAAAAGCATCATGTTCAGATTTTTCTTCTTGTATGCATGCTGTGTATCAATTTCCTAACAGCAGCAAGTGAGGTTTAGAGTTGCAGTTACTAAGCAGGAAAGAGCTGAACAGAAAAGCGTATAGGGTGATGCCACTGCCTCCAGGGCTCCTGCACTCAGTGCCATCTTCTGCAGGTCCTACCTTACAGTTATTTTCAGGGCTTTTTTGGACATTAGGCCTTGCTCTGTGTCAACAGACCAAGTGGGTAGGGCTTCATGAGATGGGGACTAGAGGCCAGCCTGACATCATTCTTTGTCTTGCTTTTAAAAAACACAGCTCTAATATTTGGTGTGGCTGTTCGCCTAGTGTGATGTCTGCTTCTAGACTTTTCTAGACTTACAGTTCCCTGTGCCAGAGGGGAGGAAGCAAGGCATAAACTCACTGGTTGGGTGGGGCCTTGGGAAAATGTGCCTCTTTCTACCTAGAAAGAATTAAAGACTGGCCGAACAGCAGCCATGGAAACCAAGCAGTAGGTAGGGGCAGCCCAGCAAAACACCAAAATGACAGAACCCTAATGACTTTGAGATGTCACCAGCCTGTCTCCATGTTTCCTGAACTTACTTGAACATTTGATCGGGCCAGTCACTAACAGACAAACACAAGCCCAACAGAGTTGTCTGGCTCTGACTCTGTCTAGGGGTCAGTGGCAGCCCAGTTATGGCAGCAGCAGGGTGCATCACTGGGTAGATCTGGTAGCACAGAGGACATGTGAGTGAGGTATCTTCTAAGCCTTTCCACACCAGAGCAAGGCCTGGCAGCCTCTTCTAAGAAAGTCCTGAACTTCAACCCATCCCCTCTTCTTTTCCTCAAGTCATTTCGTGGAACAGGACCAAAATGTTTGTATTGAAATATAAATTTAGCTGAGAGTGAGCCCATAAAATCTCCAATTACTGAAGGAAAGGACCGAAGGAGTAGGAAATCATGGGCCCATATTAACATTCGAGACTTAAAGAAGTTTTATACTGCTGTTTTAGTCATTTGGATTTGCATAATTAAGAATTACAGTCTATTTGATATGATTTAGAGGAAGCAATTAGATGAGAAATTAAATAATTCTGAAAGCAAGCTGATCTGCAAATACAAGAGGTTAGTTTACACATATGCTAAAGCACATGTTCATACGAGGCCTGCTGGCTGGCCGGGCTGGCCCTGAAATGTGTGCACTAAGGACTAAAAGGCCCTCCTAGAACAGGGACTACAGGTCATACTGGTGTGTCCAGCCCATTTTAAACCACCTTTATAAGGCCAAAACACATCCATGTGACCCACTGACCTCAGTCTAGATCTCTCTTGAATAAATTTTTCTTGTGTTGTTGACTTTGCATTAGTCCATTTCACCTCCTTTCAGAGCCCTTTATAATCAACGAGGCCCATGTATTTTTTACATGTGGCAAAGGCTGAGAGCTCTACTTGTGTCATAGAATGTGGCCAAACAAAGCAACTGATGGAGAGCATCTGTGGCCACAGGAACCTGAACTAAAATCCATGATTTTCTGGCGAGCATAGGGAAAGTGAGACTTTAAACATGCTCACTATTGTTTTCTACCTTGTAATCTTTTTCACACTGAATATTTGGGTTTTTTTTTTTTTTAACTAGTCTCCCTTGCATTCCTAAATAAAAGACACCTGAACAAATAAACAAAACAAACAAACAAAACAAAAAAATCTCTGGGATTTAAAGCACATAAAATCATAGAATTTGCTAAGAGAAATAAACAGAACTTTTAATGAGAGCTTGGAAGTCTCCAAGAAAACTGCCATGATTCTGGTGCCTTTTACTTTTCTATTAATCACATTTATTTAAGAGTTCAACCCTGTATCTATCCATACTTATGAAGTGTTTCTAAATTGTATATTGGTCTGTATCCACCATCCCAAATTACAAATGCTCTTGATAATCTTAGATATTTTGTGTGGATCCATTTTTCTATACTTTTCTTTCAAATTTGTTTATTTTTATGAATATAGGTGTTTTGCCTGCAGAAACGTCTGTGTGCCATGTGCATGCCTGGGGCTGGCCGAGGCTAGGAGAGGTGTCAGACATCCTGGGACTAGAGGCATTTCAGAAGGCTGGGCAATGGAAACCGATACTTTATCTGAATAGTAAAGTATCAATTCAGAAACATCATGTACGATAACTTACTAGTAACCGTTCATCTCCACTCCTCTTTAACTAACTTATCAGTCTAAATGATGATACTTGATTCTGATAGGTTAGAGACAATGTGGACGGACTAGGCAGGACTGGACACTGACAGTTTTCTAAAATGCCAAGCCTCTTAAAAACGTAGGCACAGCTGGAGAAACAGCGAATTCTTCTGTTTTGGTCTTTCAAACAGGAGCTCACTTCCTAGCCCTGCCTGTCCTGGAACTGGCTACGTAAACCAGGCTGGCCTCACACTCACAAGGATCTACCTGCCTCTGTTGCCAAAACAATGTGATTACAGATATATACCATTATGCCTGGACAACTTGTCAACAAAGCCATTTGGGCTAAATTGGAATAAGTGTTTTCAGCTTAAATGCCAAGGCAGTCCATAAAACTCCAGGTATGGGGGTGGGTCATACAGACATCCAATGGGAGACTACATGGCAGCTTACAAGCTCCAAAGTAAACCAGATTTAGTTATAGCTATCCTATGTTCCAAATTCCCTGAGTTCTTAAAATATGGCATCCCCTCCTTTTTTTTTTTTTCAAATGCATCAGATGGTTCATCACTCATATAAGGACTCTAATGTGGACCACTGTGTAAAGTTTGGAGACTGAACTAGATGTGCTTTTTCTGAACCTTTTACTCCAGCATCACAAATCATAACAAACTCAGTTTTTGCACTATTTCAAGCCCGTTGAAGAAAAGACAAGATAGAATATAACGTAATGCCTGAAACACACATTAGCATGTGTTTTAGCTTCTGATTTAAATCCAGCAACTCTTTTTGTCCCTAGATCATTGTGCTGATCTTACTACCTACCCTGAGTCCCACAGGCCTAGGTGTATGCTGGGCCTTTCATTGGCAGTATGAAAGATGCTATTCTCCACACTAAAAATTCAACTAATGACCTGTTTATCATCTAGTAAGTAGCTGGATTATCCCCAAAATCTCTATGCATTCTTCAAAAGATTGTTGAAGGCATATAAAACTTATTTGGGGGTCTATGTAATCAATATAATTTTTTTTGCATGCAAAGATTGGGGTTCAATTGCACAGCCATGCTCTGATCTTGCTGTGGGATTTCTCCCCTGAGACTATTCTACTTACTGGCCTTTGCTGCTTATTGGACGTTGGATCTCTCACATAAATAGTTCGGTCAGTGTTACGTACTGGTTGAGTCTTCATATCTACTCCATCGTCATTCAGATTGTCTTTCCTTTTTGATTTTATACATCCCATATTTCCTGTTGGAATAGAAAAGCAATGGCATTGTTTTTCAATCAATCCAGAACTGGCTTAAAGCCACTCAAATCTCCATATTAAATAAGCACAAAAAGAATTATGCTTTTATTCATTGTTCAACATTGATTAATATACTCAAAGGTGGATGCTGTTTGGAAACAGGTTATCTTGGTTATTCAATTGTTCCTTCATTTACTCAAAACTATTTACTGAGCATCTCGCCTTTACACCAACCCAACGTAATTCCTACTAA